AGCCTCAGTACTAGACAGTCTCCTCTCGAGTCAGGGCTGACCCCAGTGCCCCAGAGCAGTGCTAGGAAGTGCTGCCGTGTGGATGATTTAACAGAAGGCACACCTCCATGTGAGTCAATGCTTGCCCCAGTACTCCATCGCTGGGCTAGAGGGGCGGTGCCGTTGGGGGTGGGAGGGGACAGCATACCAGTTAGTCTATAAACCCAGCCTCCAGTGCGCAGTCAGAAAAATGACTCTACTAGTGGTCAAATGAGATCTAAACCAGAAAATATAAACGATCACATCACAACGACATTTTTCACAGCAATCTTTTTTTCACCAAAAATGCCTATTTAGATTGACTGAAACATTTGGAGAATTTCTGTCAAATTTGCTGAATTCTTTTGGTTGAAAAAAAAAATCTGGAAAAACTGAAACAATCTGATTTTTTTAAATTTGAAACGACTTTTTGAATTTTACTCTGATTTTTGTAAAGGTTAAAAGTACCCTGAAAAAGAAAATGAAATAAAAATCCTTCTGTTTCGATTTCAGCTCAGCCAGAGAACAAACAATCACCGCAGGGCAGCAACTCACAGACTCTTTTGTTCAGAGGCTGACCTGGACAATCCCTCTCAAAAACCTGGGTTGGCTGGAACTGAAACCATTTTTTCTAATGTTTTCTTTTAACTGGAAAACTTGAAGAAAAAGAATAATTTTGAATTGACCAAAACATTTTGGGTTGACTTGAAACAATTTTTTGGCCAAGTTTATCGTTTCAACACCACCATTTTGTATGGCTTTCGTGTGTGTGTCTGTGTGTCTGTGTGATATTTTGTTTTTTATTGGCCAAATTTGGAGACAAAATTCTGTTTTTAAATGAAAAGTTGGAAAAAAACAAACCCCGTGTTAATTATTTATAAAAAGACCCCAACATGCTTTTTCCAGCTGAAAATATTCATTAAATTTGACCCAAATGAAAAATGCATTTTTCAGCAAAACTTCTGTCTCACCCAAACATTTTGCCTAGCTCTGTTATTTACTAATAATTATGTCCATTGTGGAATTTTTCATCCCTCATTATCATTTACTTCTGTCTCTCCAGCTTTCACCTGCCCGGCCAACAGCCACTACGAGCTCTGCACTAGATCCTGCGATTTCACATGCGCTGGCTTGTTCTCCCCTGCCCAATGCACTGCGAAATGCTTTGAAGGCTGCCAGTGCGACGCCGGCTACGCATTCAATGGGGAAACGTGCACGTCCATGGAAGGATGCGGCTGCGTGCGTGACGGACGCTACATCAAGGTGGGTGCTGGGATATGAGTCGTCTGTCATCCTCGATGCTGTCATTTGGCATTGGATGCCCTTGTAGGTGTGGGATTGTCCCAGCTTCCCACGGGGAGTTACAGTGACTGTGTGTCTGTGCCCTTCAGTGCAGCGACACACAAAACCTACAGCTAGGTCCTGTCTTCAGTCACCCATGTGACTTCTACTGCAGTCAGTGGCACTTGGTTAGTTGAGCATCCAAACACCTGCCCTGTGTGATCCTTGCATGTGGAAATGAAACTATGCCATGCGCTAGGGATTCATCACAGGAAAACCATGGGATTGGATGGAAAATGGGATATGGAGCCTTTCCCCACTAGAGGGCGCCGGCTCTGATCTGGCCCAGAATGGGACACTGGCTGGCTTAGGGGGTTGGGAAAGGGACATATTGCCTTTCCCCTCTAGGAGGCTGCAGGTCTAATCCTGACCCAGTTAGAGTAAGTGGCTGGCTTGGAGGATGGGGAATGGGACAGGTCCTTTCCTGTCTAGGAAGTTCATAAACTTATCATGCTCCATCTTCAACCCAGTCAGGTTGCCTGCTCCCATTCCTCCTGGTCTCATTCTTACCCCAGAGAAAGAAAGATCTCTCGAGATAACTCTGCAGTAGACTTACCTTTGGGGGCAGGGACTGTCTCTCACTATTTATATGTACAGCACCCAGCGCAATGGGACCCTGACCTCGGCAGGCTACAGTAATGTAAATAATCAAAGGGAGCTTTGAGTTGATCCCATCCTGGGAATTTTCTCATGCTGCTTTTCTGTAACAAAGTTGTTTGGGAATTTCCCTGCAGGCCGGGGAGAGCATCATCTCCAGTGCTTGCTCTGAGAAGTGCACCTGCCATGCCTCAGGCGGACTCGTCTGCGAGCCACACAGCTGCCCTGACAAAGAGATCTGTGCGCTCCAGGACGGGGTGCGTGGCTGCGTGAAGCAGGAAGGCCGGTGCACACTGCTCCCCGGAGCCCAGCTCACCTCCTTCGACGGCGCCTCTGGAGGAGTTCTCTACAGTGGCGCTTACGAGCTGGCCTCTCTCTGCAACGACAGCGCCCCCTCCTGGTTCAGGGTGGTGGTGGACATCAGGGCCTGCGGCGATGGGGCAGTGATGGCTGGGACGACCGTCTACATTTTCTTCCAAGATGCTTTCATAGCTGTGAAAAGGAACAAGGAGACCTGGGTAAGAGGGGGCCACGTTAGAACAGCCTGAGTTGAAGGGGCAGGAAGTTCATTCAGCTGCCACCGAAATGATGAAAAGACTAGAAATTACAGTGATGTTAATCCTATTAACTGGGGCTGATCTGGGCATCTCAAAGATCAATTCATTCAGCCTATGAACCCCCTGTGTTGACAGGACGTGGTGTACAGGCTGTGGGGCATGATGTGAGTTATGGATGAACAATTATTCAGTAGCAAAGACTGAATTAGAACCCAGGAGTCCTGACTTCCCCCTGTTCTAACCCACTAAAGCCCACTCCCCTCCCAGAGCTGGGGATGCAATCCAAGAGTCCTGACTCCCAGCCCCCCTCACCCCTGCTGTGTCCCACCTCTGATGTTGGAGGAGAGGCAGGGAACTGTTTTAGGAAGGGTCTCTGTAACCCAGTAGGGTCCCTGGGAGAGATCCCTCCTTTCACTGGGGGCCCTGGCTATTGGGGGAGCGAGATTGCCCCCAGGGGATTGAGGGAGGAATCAGAGGCAGTATCATGGTGTCACATTTGGAACTCGGTAACCTGAACAGCTGTTTGCAGTGTTGTTGTAGGTGTGTCAGTCCCAGGATATTAGAGAGACAAGGTGGATGAGGTGATAATTTGTATTGGACCAACGTCTGTTGGTGGAAGGAACAAGCTTGCAAGCTACACCCTCGTGAAGAAGAACTCTGTGTAGTTCGAAAGCTTGTCCCTTCCACCAGGAGTAGTTGGTGCAATAAAAAATATCACCTCACCCACCTTGTCTTCCTCTTGATTGGCTGCGGTCATTTATTCAAATAAGAGAATTCACCAAATATTCAAATGAGGGAATTAAATCATTTGCATAAAGTCTCCAGAGTTCTTGACTTTTCCCACTAAGAGGCACGATTGCTCACAGGTTAATAACACTGAAGGCAGGAGGGACATTTGCCAATCAAGTTGCCTATGCAAATCAGTGCACCTTCATTGGGTATTGAGAGAATCGGAACAATTTGCTCTCCAGAGCACTGTTTATTGATTGGCTCCTCCGTCAGTCATAGTGTTTTCTGCACCTCTCACTCTAAGTCTATTGCCTTATAATGTGGCCCAATTGCCAGTTACTGTGGCCCCTAGACTCTAGATCTTGTTGCAATGTAATGGGGCCTATGGACTGTCGCTCAGTCCCTGCCATTCACCCCCCATTTCCCAGCTCTCCTCTGATCTAAGTCTGTGTGTTCCAGGTGAATGGGCGCTCAGTGCCGCTCCCGGCAAAGATCTCCGATGCTGTGTCTGTGC